CCGTGGTCTTCTAAGGAACCCCCGTGAGGTTTGACTGAGAGACACCACCTACAAGAGGCTCGCTTTGCTGCTTCTGAATATTAGTGGTAAAGCTCCAGCAGGCTCACTTGCAAATAGCAAATAAAGAGCCACAGAAATCTGAGCGGGGAAAACTGCTGATGGTGCCGGGAGATAAATACCAGGTTCTCCATCTCATTTTTTGAGCTGTGGGAGCATTAAGAAAGGAGAGGCGGGGACGGAGGGAGCTGTGGTGCCAACAGGGTTTTTTCAAAACCTGAAAGCTGAAAATGCTTTTGTGTCTCTGGATGCAGAGGAGGAATTATTTGGGTGCTCACAAAAAGACTTTTCTTAATACTATGTTTTAGTCCAGAGTTATAATTTATTTCTGAGTTTTTGTCTATGTTGGAAGATACAGTTTGTTATTTGATGTTCCCAGTTATATTAAAGAATACGGTCTGGAATATTTTTAACCAGATTGTGCTTTACAAATGATAGCAGAGACTATCTTTTTATCCTGGTGCTTGTGACTTGTCTGAAATCAGGTTTCACAAAATTAGTAACTTTCAAAATAAACATTGAAAAGACCGTTTTAAAAATAGCGGTATCTAATTCTGCTAACAGGAACAGCATGTTGTTCCTGCTGCATCGGCAGAAAGCCCCGGTCCCATCAGCGCCTTGGCGAGTTCGGCTCCCTGCAATCCCTGTTGGGGCACCCCCCATGCTGAGGCTGCAGTGGCAGGTGGAGGGACCCCTGCCCTGTCGCAGCTGGGCATAAATGGCTGAAGCATGCTTTAACGTATCTTACTGTTTTCAAACATTGTTATTCTGCTTCTGCCTTGATACTTATCCAATATGAACTGCCTGTTTTAAGATGGTGAACTTCTGGGACGAAAATTGCTTTTATTAACTGTCAACCTTTAATCAGGCAGAATTTCTTACATAAGAATCTGAAAAGTAGAGGTCTATGGAGAAATACAGTTCATTGACGTCCTTATCTGTTTCTAATGTGGACAGAATTAAACTTTTAAGCACAGAGACTTCCCTAGATGAATCCTATCAAGTGTGTCTTGTCTTCAGTGTCTGTCTCTTCCCGGCCTCTCCGAGCGGTTTATCCTCTGGTGGGTGTGACATCACTGGTGACATCTCCGACCTGCCACAGACAAGACCGAGTCCCTTAGTGGCAAATTCATCTTCCATTTGGCACTTCCTGGATCTTAAAACCATCCTTGTTTTCATATCCAGCTGCCAGTCAACCAACTAATGGGCAGACCCCCGGAGGGAAACCCCACAGGGCGAGACTCCGTCTGCCTCCCCGTGCTGTTGCCTTGGGGCCAGGGAGGTGCTGGCTTAGAGAAGGAATTCAATAAATACCAAATGACAGGTTCCAGAGCTGATCTTGAGTGTGTAAATTAACATGAGCTGTACACTACCTTTGCATGAACAAAAGTGTAATTGTCCTTTCCAAACGAGGCTAACTTTAAGTGACTTTGCAGCTCTTTTGTTTGATAATCTTGATATAATAGTATCTGTCATTCGGATAAGCTGCTTCCTAGCTGCTGGGTGCTGCTTGAGGCACCATGCTATTTGATTTTCAACGCAGGCTGTGAGGCCACAGGAGTCTTCACGTTACAGCTGAGAAAGTGAGCTCCAGAGAAGATCAGTGACAGCGAAGGTGGTAAAACGAGTGACTGGCAGGTGACATCTGGCAGTGGGAGTCAGGCCCAGAATACAGTGAAATCGGAAGTCCTTCTGCCCTCGTGGCCTTGCCCCGCCTCCACGTGGAGGACAGTGTACTTCCAAGGCCTGGTAGAATAGAATGAGCGCTTCTTGCTGGGGCGCCGGCATTCGGCTGTGGAGCAGAGCGGTCAGGGGATGTTCACTGCAGCCGGGCTGGCCGCTGACGCCGCAGTCTCCTTTCTCCTTTAAAATATCAGCAGTTTTCTTTTTTTTAAGAAAAAATTACAAGTGCTTGCTGTAGTACTTGTTTCTCCTAGTGATAATCTGGATATTTAGAAAAGCGTTGCTTTGCTTGGCTTTTTGAACGAATCGGTAACTTACTGAGTTTTGAGGGAGAAGGGCAGTAACTGGCCTGAGCCGCTCACCGGCGCCGCAGCTGCCTCTGGCACAGCCTGGAGGCCAGCCCTGGCCATGGCTCCAATGCCATTGGCCTGGGAGGATGCCCAGTCGTTATACCTTTAAAACACAGCCCACTTAACTCCAGTGAGAAGTTGGGGTTCAGATTTCAAAACAACCAGTCCTTTCTGTAATTGCTTCCTGTTCAACCTTGAAAGTACAGTAGTTCAGAATAAGTTTAAATTTTTCCTGTTATAGTCCCACAGATGTAAAGTGATTGCCTTAAGGAATGTTTACCAGCGATGAGCACAGTCTATTGTTTCCTCTATCTTTATGGTCATTTTAGATTTAATATAACGTCTTAGATCAGTGTGAAGACTTCTTTACTTTTAAAATCAGCTGTGTGTAGATGAGTGGATAATAGTGAAAATGAAGGTGAGTATCCGTGGGTTTGTGTGTGTCCTCACATGTCTAAGGAGGCCATCTAGTTTCAGATGATGTCTGTAGCAAGTCCGATACAGGTTTCTGCTGATAGGTGATACTTCCACTTGCTCTATTATCGATTACCTTATTTTTACAACATTTTGTTACTCCTGTTTGTCTTCATGAGAAGGATTTGAGGACTTGTTTTCTAAGTCTTCATACACTGTTTCAGAATACTAAGCCTGTCTTTGGACTGTGGTGACATTGACAGATCAATGTAATCTCATAAGAACGTGTTTGTTGTGGCCTTAACATTGTATTCTCTTTGTATGTAATTTTGAAGAGCAGGACTTTTTTTTTTTTAAACACGGTCATTTATTGGCAGTATATGAGATTGTGGGCTGAATGCGTCTAGTTTGGGTCCGACTCTCCGTCACCGTCCCTCTTCCACTTCCTCCTTCCCTGGGACCCTCTCTCTGTACCCAGCCTGATTCCTCTTGGCCTGGGCCACTCCAGAGTCCTGGGTGGTCAACTGAACCATTGTAGTGGATCTGAGAGGCAGGTATTTAAATTCACTATAAATTCCTTAATTTGAAATTTCAGTAAGTCAGGAACCAGGCCATACCTGGACTGGTGCACTGAGAGACTGAGTTTGGGAAAGGGCTGGCAACATTAAACTGGAATTTATTCACTGAGTGGCCAGATTACTATGACCTCTGAACGCATAATAATCTGGCCAATGTGTGTATATAAATATATAGAGGCCCTGTGCATGAATTCGTGCATAGGTGGGGTCCAGCCAGCCTGGCCAGGGGGAGGGGACATGGGCGGTTGGCCGGCCTGCCTGCTGGTCAAACTCCTGGTCAAAGGTACAATTTGCATATTAGCCTTTTATTATATAGGAGCTATACTGAGTGGCCAGATTATTATGCACTCAGAGATCATAATGATCTGGCCACTCAGTGTAAGTGCATCTGTTCCCTAGGTACTGACTTCCTTTTTGCAATCAAATCCTTTAATAGACTTAAGATCCAGGAAGAGAAAAAAAACCAGTTGCCATTTTTAATAAGAATTCAATTATAAGTAAAAAGCATTTCTGTATCTGTTACCATAGTTACCAAGTGGCTTTCCTGCAGTTTCAGAGAAAATGGGCTCCTTCATTCATGTGGGGGGCGGGGCTACAAGAAAGGTGGCCAGGGCGGCGGTGATTTCCCGCAGCAGCAGGCACGTTCTGGGAGAGCCCTTTGCACAGTGAGTCTTACAGGGCCCCCCACTGAGTGTAACTGTATTGGATTATGAGGGGACTTTTTTCCAAAGTTACAATATACTGTTAGCCAAATTCAATTGGGTACCAAATTCCAACTTCAGAAGTCTGCTCCAGTTTCCATGGGGTGCTTGCTGTATTTGCACAGGACTTTAGGACTTTATTTAAAATGTTAAGCATGTTCTATATTTGCAAGCACCAATTATATCTCAGGCACAAAATCAGACAAATAAAGATGAGGCCAAATGTTTAAGCCCCCGGGAGCCTGGAAGTGGCGGGTCTGGCAGGATGGAGAACGCATCTGTCCCATCTATCCCTGTACTTGTGTGTGTGGCCTTCTTACTATCTGAGACTGGTGTTTTAAGTTCGTGGAGTAGGTGAGGTGAGGCTTACATTTATCGCCTGTTTTACTAAGAGTCTTTTCTCTGGAAACTGGCAGGCATGGGACGACACCTGGTGACTAGGTTTCCTTTCAGGACCTGCTGTGTAACTAGGAAGCTTTGGATTGGAAGGAGGGCGGGAGTTGGTCACAGATGGTGGCAGAGGAGAGGTAGGGACGGGGTGCCAGGGAGGGACATGCAGAGTTAGAGTGATGGGGCGGGGCAAGTCTAGAGAATGATCTAGAACCTTCCCAAACAGCTGGGCTCACTTCTCTGCCCCAGAGGAGAGGAGAGCGTAAGAGCAGGGTGAGACATTTCCAGGTCACAGTGTGGCTTGGGCCGTTGCTTCCACTTTCCCAGCCGAGATTCTGCTCTTCCCTTCCACAGAAAGGCTCTTTCCTCCCAGCCTGTGGGTTTTTTCTATGTGGCTCTCGATCCCCTTTCTGGGGAGTTGGATGCTCAGTGGTCCTTGGGGCCTATCTGCCTTCTCCCTGGCTCTTGCTGCCCAGTCTTACGGTCAGAAATGCTGCTGCAGCTTCTTCTCGATAAGAAGCTAAGTGAGATCCTGTAATGCTACCTGTCATCTGCCCACTGGCTTGGATGATCATTTTGGTTGGTCCTAAAGGCCTTTGTAGAAGAGCATTTTAAAATGAAGGAATTGTCAAGCACAGGTCTAGTGGATGTCATTACAGAACTGATGCAACCAACTGATATCAGCTCCGATGCGAATGTAGCCTCCTACCTGCCAGAGAAGATGAAACAGGTCCACGTATGAACACCTTTCTCCTGCACTTTACAAAGCTCCGTCGTCTGAATGTTACGCGTGCGGCAGAGTGATGTGTTTGCTTCTTACCTTGCAGGTGGACGTGGGCGTGGTGCACTTCACGCCCCTGATGCAGCCCAGGATCGAGCAGCCCTTCCAGCTGGTGGAGAAGGTCGTCCAGAACGTGTTTCAGTTCCGGAGGAAGTACTGCCATCGCGGGCTGGGGTAAGAGCCTTTCTCTCCCTTCAGGAGCACACCTTACAAAGCCCTCAGCCACTGTTCAAAGATTCAGAGCCGCGTTTTTATGATCCTTCCAGCTGTGAACAGTACTCTCAGTTCAGATCCTGTGATGCACACAGCTTTGCCGCTGAGGAAAACAGAAACCGTGGCTCAGCCTCAGATGCCACTGGCGGGTTAGGTTTGGTTGGATCTTAAGTACAACCTAAAACTGACAGTCACGCTGTTTGCGATGACCCTGTGCTGGGAAGGTCGTGATTTCTCTATCGGCACTTACACCACCAGAACTGTTGACTCAACATTTCTGACACAATGTGTGGGTGGTGGTGTTTTGTTTTGTTTTTAAGTATAGTTGGCATACAACATTACGTTAGTTCCAGGTGTACAACATACTGGCTGGACGTTACATATCGCACACTCTGAACACCACAGGAAGTCCAATTAGCAGTTTGAGCTGTCACTATACTCAGATGGTATTTGCTGTGCTGCACACTGCTTCCCGGTGGCTTCTTCACTTCATATCTGCACCTTGCACCTCTTATGCTCCTTCACCTTTATCCATCCTCCCACCACCTTCCCCTCTGGCAGCCACCAGCTTATCTGTGTGTTCGTTTTGGTAGATTCCACATATAAGCGATAGCAAATGGTATTTGTCTTTTTCTTATTTCACGTAGCATAAGACCCTCTAGGGCCATCCATGCTGGTGCAAATAATATGTTGTTTGTTTTTTATGGCCGAGTAATATTCCATTACATACCTTTTTCATCTATTCACCTGTCAGTGGACACCTGAGTTGTTTCCAAATCTTGGCTATTGTAAATAACGCTAGGGGTGCATATACCTCTTCAAATGAGTTTTTGTTTTATTTGGCTAATTACTCAGAAGTAGAATTGCTTGAACAGTTGTTGTTTTTATTTTTCGAGGCCCCTCCATACCGTTTTCCAAACAGTGGCTGCACCAGCTGCAGTACTACAAACGGCACGAGCGTTCCTTGTTCTGCATCCGTGCCAACATTTGTTGTCGGACTTTTTTATAACAGCCGCTCTGCCATTGTGAGGCGCCATTGTGGTTTGTGTGCATTTCCCGCAGTGGTGTCATGAAGTGTGCACGCATGCCCATTCCTGCCTCCCACAGAGCGCCTTTGTCCCGCCGGGCTTCCCCGCTGCAGGCTCGGCCTCTCTCCCAGGCCCTCTGAGATGAGCCCTGCGGAGCCCTCAGACCTGAGAAAACAAAGTGCAATCCAGGGGAAGCTTCAGAGTATGACAGCGTCAGTTTTGCTCTGCATTTTAAAACCGCGATGTCGGTTGGATGACATATAAACTGTACACCTCACATCAGTTCTAAAGATGCTTCCACATATCGTAAAGAAGGGACATAACAATTTGCATTTTCACATCAACTGTTTTCTAACTCTGCCAAGAAAGGTCATTCTTTTGGGGTGAATGTTCCAAAAACTATGTTCAAATGATAGAAACCAATGATGTCTCCCACGACAGTAACCAACTTGCATACTAACAAATGAGGCAGATGAAACTTGCATTCCTCTCCAAGAATGCAGCTGCACACGTTACTTTGCACTCACCTTAGAGATGCAGGTACTGATGGAGCTTCGGAACATGTTCCCCTGCAGGCACGCCTCGCAGGTCAGGCTGCCTCTGCCTCCGCGAGGTCCTGCTGCCCAGGCCGAGCTGACGTTCCCTCCTGGGCTCCAGCCTTGCCGCCTCTTCCCCTCAGAACCAGGCACGGTCAAAGGAGGGGGAAGGAAGCATTGTGATTTCAGCATTGCTCACGTGGAATCCTGGTTTTCTCTCTCAGGATGTTATTCCCTGAAGCCCAGCGCCTGGAACGCACTGGGCGGCTGCTGCAGTTGGCAGATGTGGACCCTACCCTTCGCCCCCGCCAGCTCTCCGTCTCCCACTTCAAGAGCCTGTGTGACGTGTACCGGCGGATGTGTGATGAAGACCCGCACCTCTTTGCCTACAATTTCAGAGAAGAGCTCAGGAACCACAAGCGGCCCGGGCAGGACAAAGAGGCCGGCAGGGAGAGCCTGTAGCTGCACTCTGGGGCCAGCGGCTCCCCCAGCGTGCGCCCCCCCCCCAGGCCGAGCGTCTCTCACGTGCACTCTGACTGCCACAGAACGACAGAAATGCCAGTTACCAGCGTGACTTTCTTCCCTTTACTGTACAGGTTGGTAGAGAAAAATAAATATAATCAAGTTACAGTACAAGCTTTCTTTTAATATATATATATATATGCATAGATATGGCATGTTTAGTATAAACAGCATCTATTATTACAACCTTACAGAAATGAAATTTCTGCACATTGTGCCCCTAACACACATTAAAATAACTTAAATCTGCTTTAAATAAAGCAAACACAGCTCAAAGTAAATGCCCAGAGGATAGAGAAAAACGACCTTTTTTTAAAAAAAAAAAAAAAAGCTATTCATCACAGCTTCCCCTCCTTTTCCCACATAAATTAATTAGACTGCAGTTTTAAGGGTTCTAAGTCATTTTGACACCTGCTCAAAAAGGGATATAAACTAAGTATTTTACAGATTCCGACCAGTTGAATCGAGTTTTCTGGTCCACAATAAATTAAAATAACTTAAATCTTTACAACTGTTCTGTGGGAAAATGTATACTGCACAAAACCCAAGGATGGACAGTCTGGTTTGTCTGCAGTGTCTGTCTGACCACTAGTTTAAAGCGACAGGAGCACGTCAGTCCGCGTCCCACTGAGGCTACACTAGGAGTCCCCGGGACTCTCCGTCTCATAGAAGCACTGCTCGCTGACCACCGACGTCAGGCTCTGGACGCTGAACTCTCGCTCGAGCACGGAGTTGAGGTCAAGGTTGGCACTTTCAGAGTGGCTGTCGAGGGACTGGTGGCGCGTCTGCGCCTTTAGCAGAGTTCCCCTCTCCCTTCTGGTGCTGTTGGCTTTCCGTTTGATGGCACAGAAGTGTCCCCGGACCAGTTTGGGCTGCTCCCCTGGTGGCCGGCCATCGGAGCCCGGCTGCTGCTCCTCAGGGGAAGCATCCGGGTCCTCGGAGATCCTCAGCCTCTGGAACTGGATTTCTATGTCTTTGGTGGGGCTGCCCAGCCTCAGGGTCTGCTGGTAGTCGTCCTCCTCCTCGTCGCTCAGAATGTCACTCTCTTTGATGAGACTGTCCGGAAAGTCCGGCAGGCTTGTTTGGGGGTGTTTCGGGGTGTCCTGCCCGCCCCCCGCCGGCTGGCAGCCGCTGCTCTGCGTGCTGCTGCTCAGGCTGCAGTCGTCGGAGTCCAGCGAGCTGCCCTGGCCCGGCTCCCCCGGCCACTCGCTGCGGGAGGAGTTCCTGAGGACTTTCAGGGACCTGCACGAAGCTGCGAGGAGAGAGCACACACCCCTTGTGACAGAGAAACAGGCACCAGATGTGTGGGTTTGCAGTATAAGTGATGCGGTTTCACATCTTAATTACTGAGATTTTATCATCTCACTTCAGTTACCGAGCATCCTGGGACTTATGAAAATTTTATCCGAAATTTGACGTTGGAGGATTTCATATTTTTGGATGACCAGTTATTAGAGCTCAATTATTTAGATAGAAAAATAAGCTGCAATCTTAAGGGCTAAGATTCCTACTTTTCCAGAGGCTACATTGAAATGTTAAGAAATCTTCTTTTCTTCACTACCTCGCTCTGTCATTTGATAACCAAGACCACACCATATTTCTGTCTACCTTCTCACCTTATTTCCCTTGCTGCTGCACTAAAAGGAGACAAGTGTTCTCTCATGAGAACTGTCTGCTGGAATTTCTAACCAACTTTCAAAGATTTTGTGTGAAGAGTTATTTGTGTGTGCATTTCATTTCTCGGGACTGGAGGAGGAAGGAAGTTGTGTTTCTGTAGACAACAGCATCTTTTTGATGGCTATGGCTTGTTTTGGTGAGAGAGAAAATGGGAAATATACAGTAAATTTAAAGAAGTCACACTGTGACCCAAAAAGAAAGACACACATTTTATAAGAGTAAAAAACGCGATCAAAGGTAAAAACAAAATAGTAACTACAGAAAGAATATTCCACAAACTTAAGCTGAAATTTTAAAAGTAGGCAGAAAGTTGAGAGTGGTGTATTTGGCACCTTTACCTGCTGCTCTAATAGGATGAGAATGAGGATTTAGGTTTCTGATCCTAAGGCATTTGGTACTGACTTTCTAGTTGCCTGCAGTGGTCAGAGCACCAGAAATCTCCCTGGACTCCTGTACAACCCAGAGAAGCAGATAAGATGGTAAACGTAGCCGTGTCGGTGGTGGTAAGAGGGGGTTTGGGGTTGGGGTGTTTATATCTATCTATTTTTTATGTATATAAAAGGCGAAGTGACCATCCAGTACAATGACACACACTGGCAATTTAAAAATAAACATTGACTCCCGCATGTGCGATATATATAAAGCTCTCACTGGTGCCATAATCAAAGCTGAAGTATAACAGGATCTGCGGAAGGAGAGGTTGTTCTGATTCTAAGAATTGATTTGTGCCCGTCTGACACTGGCCTCCCACTTAAATTAATTCAAAGACAGTTTCCTGTGATGCCAGCATTTGCGATGACTATTAATAAATCACAAGAACAAACTAGGCAGAATGGGAATATTCCTACCTGAACCCGTTTTCGGACATGGTCAGCCATATGTTGCTTTCTCTCGAGTTTGAAGAGCATGTGACTTTCAAGTTGTAAATAGTTCATCATAAGGGAAATTGGTCAAGCACTCTGAAAGTGTTTTTTACTCTTAATGTGGTACAGGGAGCTATCAGACTAAGTTGAATCAATGTATCAGTCATTGTCTTTATCAATGTTGTTTTTATATCATGTCTTTGCCTGGTATATGTTATTATTGTTTATGTATTAATCATTTTATATATTATTTTCATATACATTATACTAATTTTCTTTCATCTCCAACACTTCTATTTTAGAGACAGGGCAAATAGCGATATTAGAATATTTCTTCTAATTAAATTTCCTTCCAGTGTTCATGAATCCATGCACCAGGCCACTAGTATTTTATAAAAGGAGGTATGGGAGCAAGAGGCAAGCTCAGGTTTCAGAAGAGGAAACAAAGTAGGGCTGACAGGCACCCTGGTAATTTACAGTGATGACATACTCGTGTGTTACAAGAGAAGCTCGGATTTTCATGAACCACGGGAGGCTGGCGAAGCTCTCACCTAACTTGGCTGAGACAGGAACGCGGTTCTTAAGGGGCACCAGGCGGTCCTTGCTCGCTCTCTCTGGGGGGAGTTCGCTCTTTATGTGCCGCCTGAAGTTCTCCCTCAGGATGGATCGGATCACCTTGACGATGCTGGTTTTGCTTTCGCTGTCACTGGGGGGTGGGGGCGGCGAGAAGAAAGAACATTGGTGTCCAGTGTCATCGCGCTCCCGTCCCTGTCCCCTCGTCCTGCGGTGGGACGGACCGACGGCACTCGCCAACCTCCTGGTGCCTTGGCCTCCTCACTTACAAAGGAGTGAGCACCGACGTCCGTGAAGCGCTGGGATTTGGGTATTTTTTGTTTGTTTTTTGGTAATCCTCACCCAAAGATACTTTCCCATTGATTTTTAGGGAGAATGGGGGAGAGAGGGAGCGACAGAGAAGCATTGATGGGCGAGAAACACATCGACTGGTTGCTTCCTGCCCGAGCCCAGACCGGGGCCCAAGCCTGCAACCAAGGCATGTGCCCTTGACCAGAATCGAACCTGGGACCCTTTGGTCCTTAGGTGGACGCTCTGTCCACGGAGCCAAACGAGCTAGAGCGGGTTTGGGTAGGTTTGTATTCAGTGTGTTCTATACCGGGGCCACTGTTGCCCTGTGGGGAGTGTGGTGTGGGCTGTGATCCTGAAGCCACCAAAATTCAGGAGGCACTGAAAGTAACCCTCCCTGTAAGAGCTCCCCACTCCGTCTCATCCCCGCGGCTCTGTGTGTGGGTGTGGGGGGCGGGGGGGGGGGGGGGGGTCGTACCTGCAGCACAGCTGGAAGACGGTTTCCGGCCGCCCCTCTGTTTCTGACTTGGTGTGGATCAGCTCCCAGATGGAAGAGTTTTCTGTTCCTGGGTAAAGGGCCAGAGAGTTGAGGCTACACCTGCCACAGAGCCTGTTCGGAACACCTGTGAGCTCTAAGGCTCATCATGTAGTCACGTCTTAAGATCAACTCTTCCCAACTGGCTCTCATGGTTCACTCTATGTCTGACTTTCACAAAACATACAAAGAGTTCAGTACTTTTCACATTTCCTGCTGATGTTGTCGATCCATTTTAGGGCTTCCTCCCTATCCCTGGATGCCAGTCCTCTGGGGAAGAGGTTACAGGGGTCCTGTTCCCCGCCCCGTTCTGTGGAAGGACTGAGGAGGGGGCTCAGGTGAACGTCTGGAGGTGAAAGGCTGGCCAGGGTTCAGTCGTGTGCTGGGAAGCGTCAGCACTCGGATGGAAATTACACAGGGCCCGGGAGCGGCCTGCGCCTGGCCCTGCGGGCCTTTCCTCCCGGGGGCAGTGTCAGCGGACACCAGGGCTGTGTCAGCAGAACACGGAAGCGCCTCTCCGTGTTTCACAGGTGGAAGGCTTTTTTCTTGTTTTTACGTCATTTGTGCTGCTGCCTCATCTTAAAGAATTTTCTGGTGTATCTAAACTTGGAAAGATTTAGGTCGGTGGACCTTTGTTCCTTTAACACATCTGGGTGTACCAAGGCTACCAGGTTCCAAAATGTTGGTAGTAGAAATAAGGACATGGTAGAGAAAGGTGTTTGGCTGGGAAGAGCCACCCATCAGTCCTTCCTCCAGAAGTCTATGAGGAAACGTCCTCCTATTCCTGCTATAAAACATCCAAACTTTGGCATTTGTGCTAGTTACCTGCTGCGTTCCCCAGTCTGACTTGAAGTGCGGATATGGGGATCAGCCAGCGAAACTTAAACGGGTCCAAGTCAGCAGAGCTGTGTGCAGGCCGGGCGTTGGAGGGCTGTAAGAGGAGAGACCCAGGAAAGTCAGAGCTCGCTCTCGCCCAGGTGGCCGCGTGCCTGGATGGTCGCTGCAGCTTCCTTCCTGTCCCTCCCCAGTGCCAGGCTCCTTGCAGTGTGTGCGCTCAGGCTGTGGGGACCTGTCAGATCAGGCTACTCCCAGGGCTCAGGGGCTCACAGCTGGTGGGGAGAGGGCAGCATCATGGTTTGGGGGCAGAAAGTTCTAGGTTTCCAAGCAAGAATGACAACCAAGCCTTCCATGTCTTCACATTATCGCTGACGGGGAATTGGTGGCTCATAGTATCCACAGCTAGTTTTGTTTGTTTTTTTTAAGTCAAAGTAAAGGTCATTTGAAAACAAACTGAAGACTCTTTCTGTGTATGGAGGAAACCTGGGCCATTTTGGGGGACATAAAAGCTCATTTTCTATGCATGGGTATTTGTCTGTCTTTTAAAACAGAATCTTCTTGAGAAGAAGAAATATCTTAAGTATTGGACTCAATCATTACCTGGGAGAATAAGTAATGTCAGTTGGGGATGCCTGGGTTCTTAGCTGGCCTCTCAGTTCAATGTTAATAGGAAAATACAGCCATGAAATGGTAGCTTTAATTAAAACTAATTCTTGTCTTACCAATTTCTTTTTCAGTTTGCAGTTTTCTTTATAAACCAGTATGACAGCTCTCTTAAAAACTAAAGAAAAGAAGAGAGAAAGCTTCCATTATTTCCCACAAACTTCAAGGTTAGACTAGAGCTGAGTGTCTCAGTGAACAAAAAGCTCTTCACACTTAGACCCTCCAGGACCTGAGGATGCCAGCCCATGAGTGACTACATGGCACTTCCTTCTGTCATGTTGGAGTTGTGCAGAAGTGCCTGCTTATCCAAGAGCTATTGTCTGGAGCAGATGCTGTCATTTAAAGAAAAACCTCGCTTTGTTTTATTGAAGCCTGAGCACGTGGTGCTCATCGCAGGGAGAATGCACATCTACGCTCACTGCCGTGCTCGGGGAGAGTAAGACATTTTGAAGTGCAGCAAACTACTGTGATGGCAGGCGGAATAGCCTGGCTCTGTTCCTGTGCCGCTCGGAAAGAGCCACCAAGCCGGGCAGCAGGCGGGACAAGATCACGGTATGCAGAGCAATGGAGTTTTAAGTAGGTTAAGTCAAAACTCGGTGATCCTAGCCCTTCTGGAAATTGGAGGGTTTGGGGAGTCCTTCATGATGGCCAGCCTCCTGGTTTACGTACCAAACACTGTGAGCTCAAGGTCCTTCCTGGCCTTTCCTAGAGACAGAAACGGGTTCAGCCAGGCCACGGGCGAGTGCAGCAGAAGCTCCCCCATGGAAAGCTCTGTCACCTGGAAAACAGGAAGGGCGGGGAAGCCCCGCCACAGGTGCATGTTGGGGAGGGAGTCACACAGGTGTGGTCGTGGCTAACATTCAAGTACATGCAGTCTGGTTTTAAGATCCCTGTTCACTTGGGGCCTTCAGTAGTGGAAGTGTTTAGGTATGCCTACATCCAACTGTTTGCAAGTGACAAATGCGGAGGCACTCGCTTCAGTGCACATGCTACCTGAGGCTGGGACATGCCTGTGGACCACAGCCACAAGGTCCCTCCACAGTGCCTGTGTTAGCACTGCCCTGGGCCATCGACGACACCAGGCCTGCTAGTAGCAAGTACCACCAGTGTTGAACCTGACCGTAATCAACAATCAACCTGCAGCTGTTTTCTCTTCTTGCCTTTTTCTACTTAAAACACATTGCTCCTTAGATGTAGACTCAAAAAGCTTAAGATTCTAAATTTGGTCATCAGCTGGGAAAAACATATATAGACATTGTCAGATTGCACTTAAACAACCTTGAGAAGGAAGGAGGTGGCCCCCAGTATTTCACGCTAAAAAAAGAAAAGAGAACAGGTCCTGTTCTCTCAACGTGCTGGCTCCCACTTCCTCTGTCCATCCTGCGCTCGCTCTGCATGTCGCCACCACCTCGGATGTCCTGACCTCATGCCACAAGGAGGAAGAGCTCAGGGGTCTGTCTCGTTTTCTCTGGTGCATAACGTAAGGGTGCATTCTTAAACCAGGGTCATTAATTTGAACCTTTATACCTAAATCGTGTGGCTGGGTTATTATGAGCGTTAAGATCAAAATGAGAACTTGAGGCATTTTTCTCCTCCAGGAAAGCCCTAACGGGGGGCCTAGACTGAAGGTGACCCATAGTCCCAGGGAGCAGGTGCAGGAAGCCTCTCGGAAAGCGCAAGTCCCACTGACCTCCCTCTCGGTGCCGCTCTGCTCCGCGACCAGCTGGTCAAACACGGTCCCGTAATCCTCATAAATCTTCTGCATCTCATTGATGTGGCTCGCTACCTTTTCCATTGCTTTCAGCGCTTCTGCAAAACAAGGAATCATTCATTTTACAGTGTTTGTTTGTCTCCAATCCTGTCCGACAGCAGTAATGAAAAAGCTCAAGATTCATGCCAGGATTCGAAGCCAGTTCTCACAGTAGTGCTATCAGGTTTGACTCAAACAGCCCGTTATAATCCAGTCAGTATAATGAACAGAATTATCTTCCGACTCAAATTCTCTTTGGAATGAGGCAGTAAATAAAAAAAGGAAGTAAGTATCAACAATAATAGCTACCATTTATGAAGCACTTCCTATTCGTCATGTGCTAGGATAGGTAATTGGTATGAGTCATCTCATTTAATCTCTACAATAACTTGACTCTACCCTGTTTCCCCGAAAATAAGACGGCGTCTTATATTAATTTTTTCTCCCAGAGTTGCACTAGGTCTTATTTTCAGAGGATGTCTTATTTTCGGGGAAACACGGTAGCACTGTAACCTGTCCCATTGCACAGATGAGAAAGTGCGGTGCAGAAGGAAGGGTTAAATATTCAGCCAGACGTGCACAGGGCACCTGTAAAATTTTGCCTCTCCTAGACCAGTTACTGGAATGTGAGCCATAACAGTTTTTAACAAGAGCTTAGAAATGTCTCTGTAAATGTTTAACTGCCAGAGACATTGGCCTGTGGAGGGACAAGATGTTTTTGCTAAAGTTCAAAAGCAAAACTTCAGGTCCCCTCATATGGCGTGGAAGGAGTTGTGGAAGGCAGTATTCTTAGCCATCCTTTTAAAGATCTTGATGTGAAATGAACATACAGTATTTACAACACTAATCGTAATTTGTGTAATTTACTTGTACAATTTAATTTTCATACAAAAATATGTCGTCCTTGGTACTTATGCTGTAAAAGGATGGTTGTCGTAGTAAAGGAGCCAGTTTCAGTCACACTCTTCTCGGTGTTTATGATTCAGTGATGGGAACATGCAGTGAGTTTTTCCATCTCCATGGGGTTTGTTACATGTGGCTTAGCTGCCCTCCTGGCTCTGATTTGTGGGAAATGATGCCTGTTTCTCTCTAATCTGGTACAGTCTCCCTCTCAGGGATTCTCTGCTGCATCAAACTGAGGGGCCCTGGGTCCCGGACAGGTGTGTCTCAGGCTGATGATGTGCCGGGTGACAACAGAAGACACAGCAGCATCCTCGTTGAAGCCTCACCTGTCGTTAGGAGTTTGGTTTCTGAGTCCGGCTCTGCGCAGACATTTCCACAAGGTGGAGCCTCAGCCAGCGCTCCCGCCAGCAGCACTGAAGCCAGAGAACTCACCGAGACGGAAAGGAGGCCTGGTTAACCCCTTTCCCGTCCCTGGGCTCACTACCTTCTTTTAAAAATGAAAAGGGAATCATCCCTCCAGATTAGCTTGGGGCTCCTCCAACGAGATCATTTTGCCAAACGTTCTGTCCATCTGGAGGGATGGCCATATACCTAACATTTCCACACATTAACACTAAGATTAACAGGCACAGCCCTGAGAGATGTTTTCTAATACACGGGGGGGCTGCTCGGCCCCGCCGGCCTCACCTGTCAGGTGGTAGTGCTCCTCACTGTCGTGGTCCGTCAGGGACACCAGCTCCCTGAGCAGCAGCGGGTACTTGAGCACCCTCTGCACAGGCTTGATGAGGTAGGACTCCAGCGTGGACGAGTGCTGCTTGGTGGGGTTCCGGGCATCCAGGAAGGCCTTGAAAGCGTTGTCAGTTTTGGCTGCAAGCACATGGGTGAAAGACTGTTAGCAGAGCGGGGCGGTGGCCCTTCTACTCCATCCAGTTTCTATGGAGTTACAGATCGTGCATCCTTATGTCCTAAAGCCACCCCATCGCATCAGGGCCAGGCACCCAGCTGTCAGCCTGGATCCAGCATCCCAGTGTGACAGCTCCCGTGGGCAAAGGGAGCTTCCTCACTGTCAGAACAGCAGAGTCCACACACCAGAGGGTACACTGACCCGTGAGAGACTCTCATAGGAACCTAACGAATGAGTCAAACAATCCTGAAGCCACACCACCATGTTACATACTCCCCAAAAGACTCATACAGCAAAAGAAACCAGCACTTCTCCAGTCCTAACACAAATGGTTACTTAATGTGTTATTCATAGCGCAGTATCTTTCTCCTTTAAAATAAGTTGATAAGCCCTGCAGCCTTCACCTCTCCAGCTCTGAGCAATCTCAGCTTCCACAGGGGGCAGTGAGAACTGCCTCTCCGCTCTGAGTCCAGTGTCGTGAAGGGCGTGCTCAGGAATCCGAGGGCATTGAGTTTCGAGAGAACCGGTGGACACACCAACAACTGCTTTGATCCCACCTGCAGGCACTGGTTGACCAGCTATTTGCAATTCAGCCAATTTGAATGAAGATCTACTCTTCTTTCGAGTTTTGTCAGAAAGGCAAAGTCTACGCCTTTTAGGAGATGCAGTGCCATTCTGAATGAGACTGTCCGACGCAGTGGATGGTGAGATAGCCCTTCTTCATGATGGAGGAACTGGGCAGACCACTGGTTCGGAGGAAATCCCAGTGGAGTCAGGTCTCTGGAGAACTAGAGAACACAGATCTGGGCTGGGTCTTCTTTACGTGAAGCACTCCGGGCTCCCATTTACATCTGAGCCTGCTCTAGGATGGGATGAAGTTCTGGATCAACACCAACTGGCCGAGCTGAGCCAGTGGAGCTGGTGAAACTGTCAGGAAAAACCCTAACGTCCACCTTCCCCTGGTTTTGAGAAAGGCAAACTCCAGGTCCTCTCTGACAATGCCAGTAAGCATTTGATGACAGAGAGAAGAGGCTTGGAACTTAGCTTGGCTGCCAATACCCTGTTGACACAACGAAGTTCAAATACAGAACCCTCCTCAAACGTGGGCCACCATCATGGCGGGGTGCTCTGATTCACTGGCTTCTAGATGTGGCAGATCACAATAGGAACAATCACAGGAGGCCATCCTGAACTCTGAAGAAGGCATTCGAATGCTGGGGGCGTCATTTTCATTCTGGACATTTATGATGTAATCACAGTTCAAGCTTCGGTAGGTTCATATCTTGTTTCCAAGTACATGTGAAAGCCTGCTGGCCTTTCCTGGAGACAGTTCCGATGAACCTGAATAGGATGACATGTGTTCTCTTAAGCTGTTTTCCACTGCGGGTGCCGAGCAGAGCGCACTCCTGAGGACCTGCATTTGTTTGGTGTTACTTCAGCCTTGAGCTTGAAGTCCTGTGTCTGCATCACTGATGGTTCCTCCTCTTGTCTCTGCTCCCAGCAATGAGCATTCCGAAGAATGGGGGAGGCAACATCCGAGAGACTCTAACCTCACACCTAGAGAGGTCTGCAGGGACTGAGAGAAGCCCTCAGCAACAGAAGGGCCTCGCTTCAGTGTCCCTGGTTTAGGGCGTTACAGGAATAAGTTGAACTTCAAGTTGAGCATACAAGGTGGTGACTGCAGCACAAAGACACCCTCCGACACCTCCACACAAGAAGGTCATGGTCGTCATCAAATGTTTGAATACACTTTCCAAGCTGGACAGGCTGGCCTGCCCACCCCATATGCTGGCTGTGAGCCCACCAGCTGACCCGTTGCAGTTCAGAGCCCAGAGCTCAGGCCTGTCGGCTCCACAGAGGAATGGTTGTTGTTGGCTAAAGGGAAGAGCGATGAGGGTTGACTACCCAGTCTACTCGGACTTAAAAAATTGAAGCCAGTAAGATCCAGTGAGAAGATAAAAGAGTGTGGAGATGAAAGGTGCTTCAGTGGCAGAAGGTGAGCTGTAACAAGGGACAGTTTTCCCCCAGTTCTACCAAAAAGCATTCATTTCACTCGGCTCACTTCTTGTGAGCTTGATGGTGGTGTTTGCAGCAATTTTTCGGGCTTAAGAATAAGATTAATAAGAAGGAAGAAAATGCTGTATGTTTTCCACCCCCATCCAGGGGCTTATGGTTCTGCGTTTTTAGATCAAGGAATCTGGTGAAAAATAATTCAGATGTATTTCCACAGCAGAGTGACACGTGGCAAAGCAACATCTCTGCTCTTAGGACTTCCACTTTCACCAACAGATTGAAATAAAAAAACTTTCCGCCAAAGCTGGTTTGGCTCAGTGGTAGAGCGTCGGTCTGCGGACTGAAAGGTCCCAGGTTCGATTCCGGTCAAGGGCATGTACCTTGGTTGCGGGCACATCCCCAGTAGAGGGTGTGCAAGAAGCAGCTGGTCGATGTTTCTCTCTCATCAACGTTTCTAGCTCTCTATCTCTCTCCCTTTCTCTCCGTTAAAAATCAATAAAATATATTAAAAAAAAAAAAAAAAAAAAAACTTTCCCTTTAATGTCACCAGCTTCAAGGTCAAGAACGGGACATGGTCCCTTAAAATTGCACTTATTCCTCCTTGTTAGGTACACATTTATTCTTGGTTAACCACCAAAAATATAAAGAACACCGCTTCCAACGTTAGGAGTAACTTACCTCGCTCCAGAACCTTCTGCACTTTGATGTGATTAGCACAGAATCCGCTGTACAGCTTGAAGTGGTCGGCATAGTAAAGGAAAGAGCCTCCCAGGGAGAACAGTAGTTTCTAGAAAGGGATGGAGAAGTTGTCAGACATGGGCGGGGTGTCTGTGGCATCTGACTGCTCTGGTGTCTCCGGGGCCCTGTCCTGCAGACGCCAGTGCTCTCATGCCCGGAGAAGGTGCCCACCGCCATAAGCTGGGCTGCCCCTGGCCAGCATAGCCAGGCTTCCCTGGCAGAGCTGCAGAGGAGCAATTGGAGGACAAGTAGTAGTTCTGGAAAACACCGCTGACCAAGGGGGTGGGAAGGCGCCGAGAGGCGCGTTAACGAAGCTGGCTCTGCTCAGATGCAGGATGCTGTCCGTGCTCCCCTGCAGGGTTCCGCCAGCCCCGGCGCGCATGTTGGAAACGGGCTCCCTCGGTGGGAGAGGTCAGAACGGTTTCCCATGCGGGGGAGGAATCGCAGCGAGTGCCCCGGGTCTGGGGCCGTCGCCTGCACACCCGTTAGGTGGCCGGAGTGAAGGTGTGGAGGAGGCCTGCACCCGGGCACCGGCACAGACGGTGTGTGCAGACCGCCCCTCCATGCTTTGCCTGCCCTCTAGACTACTCACCCTAAACTGCGAGGGGGTTTCAAGTACGTTAAAGTCAGCCGCCGCCGAAATGCCATCCTCCAGCGTCTCCAGAAACACCTTCTGGAATTCCAGCATCTCTGGCAGACTTCCGAAGAGCGACTCCATCTACATGAAGACGGGAGAGGAAGAGGGTGTTAGCAGCAGGTCCGGGCCGCTCTGACGCCCTGCGGCACGGCAGGTGGCAGAAGGACATCCTTATAGAACATGGCGCCTTCCTTAGGGGGCACTTCACACCGAGAATTCACAGCTCTCGTCCCCAGAACCCTAACGTCAGTCTTTCAGTGGGTGTGAAGTTTTCAGAATCCAAACTGGGGGCAAATGGAAGAAAGTAGGAAGTAACTCCTGTGCTTTAGCCTTACAATGTCTCGTGTGGAAAAGTAATTTTTGCCACAACTTCTCCACGGAAAGGATCGTCTGAATTTGTGCTAACCCGAGGCCACGTCCACAGCTTGGAGGAGGCCTCGTTTGGGTTTCTCTGAAGCCCCTGAAGTCTGGGACGTTTGGGGTTCAGTAGATAAAATCTCCTAAGGGGTCCCCCAAAGGGCAGAGACTGGCCCGTGGTTAAGGAACGGGGGGAAGGTGATTATTTACCTCGTCTTGGGTAAGAAACGTCTCATTTTGAAGCGGCTCCAAGTATAATTCAAAGAGGCAGCTCAGATCCTAAAAGACATAAGAGTCGTTGGCACTTACGCCTCTAAGACACCCACATATTTCCAGCAACCCGGCCACAGCTCCAGACTCCCTAGGGAACCATGAAGTTTGTGTCTCGTTGAAATTCTCGACCCTAAAAGTGTCCATTACTACTCACTGGGCTCAGAGGTTAAAACCACACCCATTCCTCAGCTGGAGACATGAGACGTCCCTGACCCACAGCCCAGGGCACACACACAGGTTGAAATGTCCAAGCCGCATGCAGAGGTCCAGGTTGGATGAAAGAACAAATGAATCTCCATGTTCAATGTCAGCAGCGGAAAGGAAGTAAAACATGAAAACATGTGTGGGTCACAAGAGACTGCGGTGCTGGTTATGTCGTCAGAGAGGGACGGGTGTTGTCATTCCTCTGCCAGCTGATGCTGCCTGGGGCTGCACACGAGGGCAGGTCTGCGCTGACCCTCGGGGCCAAAGACTGCGACACCCAGGCCCTCAGAGCACAGTGCAGGCTTGTCCATAACATTCATCTCCGCTCCCCCAGCATCAGCAAGGAGGGACCTCCCAGCGCCGCGTGGCCTGACAGGAAGCAGCAGCAGCATCGGTAGCGATAAGAAGGGCCTTGGACTCCCAGTGAGAGCTCCATGACCAGCCTCGGCCTCAATCACAGTGCCCAGGGCTGCGGAGAAGGTCCCCATGGCTCCCAGGAGGATGCAGAAATCTCGTCTGGATTCTCCCCTCACTCCCCTCCCCTCAGGTGTGGGGCGTTCTCCTGAGCTCTCTGAATAGGGTTTGGTAACATCCAGACCAAATGACAGGGACACTGATGAAAGGCGAAGCTCAGCTCTGTCAGGAGAAAGGTGACAGCCGTGTGTGTGTGTGTGTGTGTGTGTGTGTGTGTGTGCGCGCGTGCGCGCGCATACCGAGGTTACCTCGGGGTACGGCATGTCAAAGCTGCCACAAGGCACACCTGTCTCAGCGCCCAGGCCATTTGGATGGGCAGGCTGCGCCAGGCCCGTGCCACGCTGCCCTCAGCAGTCAGCCAGCCAAGTGAGCGCCATACAGTTCCGAAGCTTCGGCAACACTTCAAGCAAAGAACTGCCCTCCCAGGCCCCTGTATTCTCTCCATGTCTCTCCGACCCGAGGGGCTTCCGAGGCAAGCCAGCGGGTTCTCCGGGCTCTAAGATGTGTGGGAACGCCCGTGATGAGGGCACATCGGTGGTGGGACCTGTCTGGGGCGCCTCAGAGGTCGCCTTAGACCAGCTGTGCCCTCGTTCCCATCACCTAATGTGATCTCCGTGCCCGGGTACTAACCCAGCGCAGATGCCTTTCCACACGTCACACAAACTGGAGCATCCGTTTCCATAGTGAAAGCTACCTTGGTAACAAATGAGCCGAGATCTAATTTTCCCCGAGTCCTCCAAGCATTTCCTCCCTCCCCCTCCCCTCCTCCCCCCCTCCCTCCTCTGCAGCAGTTCCCTTCCAGTGCACGGTGGGGTCCGGCGGGCATCACCCAGGAACCCCTGCCGCCGTACCACTGGCCGCCACAGACCTGGAGAGAGAGCAGGGAAGCATGCCCTCCTGTACCTTCACGTAGGACTTCTCTGTGTCCACCAGCTCCTGGATGACTTTTCGGAGGCGATCCGCATCCGACAGGTGGCGGGCCAGGGGCCGTGGAGGTGGGGCCTGGCCCTCCCGCGGTCCTTCCATGCTGCCAGGCTGGGTGGCGTTAAAACTCCTGCACAGCGTGGCGATCTGTTCCGCACTCTGCGAGGGGACAAGAGGTGGGGAAATGCACAGGACACTGTCCGTTACTATCCGCTGCCCACCAAGGACGCAAACTGTCGCCATCCCTGCCCGGGAATCTCGTGGGGGACATATCCAGGGCAGATGGTTTCGTCCCCACAAACCACTCTGTCACTTAAGATGCTGGGGGCGGGTCCGAGCTTACCCCAGTCAGTATCTCCACCCAATGCTTCCTTGCTGCCATCAAGCAAGCACTTAGCTTCCAACTGGACATATCATAGAATTTATTCTCCAAAAGCTCCACGTGTGAGTACCAATGATTCTCCTTGGACTCACACATGATCCACTGAGTTTTATCCTCAGCTGTGAACACAAGCACATTTCTGCTAACACCTGTCAGAACGCACTCATTCTGGGCAAATTGCCCAAGAACAAGAAAACAGATGTGGGCTGTAAGGCTCCAATCAAGGCAACTTGATCTATCAAAATGTCTCCTGCCTAAAACAATGAAATCTTATGATTCACCATTAAAGAAACATTTCAATCATGCCGAGAGCTGAATGACACAGAGCGGACGCCAAAGAGGGCAGTGTGGCCAAAAGGGGCTTCCTTCTCTTCTGGGACACGAGCATCCTAAGGGAGCACCTGGGACTGTAACAATCCACCCCCCCACGACCCCCACCCACCCTAAATCCTGTCCTCCTCCTCCTCTCCAGTGGGTGTCAACCCTGGCCACATACTGGCTTGATTGGGAGCTCAAAAAATACCCATGCCCAAACCAACGGAATCACAGCCTCTAGGGCCCCAGGTGTGGGCGTTTGAAAGAAGTTTCCCAAGTGATGCTTACACGGGCCAAGTGAGAACTGCTTGGTTTCGCCAGTGTGGCACTGCCAGATCACCCTGCCCCAGGGTCTGCACTGAAGGATGGCCAGGCGAAGGTGTGTGGACTGAGCTCAGGAGGCAGTTGGCAGCAGACAGAACCACACCGCTGACCCTGGAGGTCAGGTCTGGTGCTCTGCTCACTGAGCTCAACAATCCAAGATGATGATGCTTGGGCCCTAAAACCCACTTTTTTTTGAAATCTCTCTCCTGCTATTTCTGCACCACCATCTCAGACAACCTAATTCTGCGGTCTTGAAAAATAAGTTTCCAGTTCTATGGGATCTATATTAAACTCACATATCTTGCATAAAATAAGGCCTGACAGAATGCACCATAAGTTAAATGGCAGCTGGTGAGATGACAGCTTTGCCTTGCTGGGATGTCAGAACTCACACCTCACAATGCGGTGTTAAAATAAGGAGACCTTAAAAAATAAAGTCTCATGCCGTTTTAGAGAATCCGAATTCATTTTACGAACACTTCTGCTAAGATGAACTTAAAGAGGGCATGTTAGGCGAGACTTCCATGGCCAGCGTTGTTCCTGAGGTGCCACAGTGAAGTGCTCAGGAGGGACCCATTCCCTCGCCCCAAACAGGTGGCTGTGGTCCCCGGGGCCCCGTGAGAATGACTTAGGGTCCAAAGGAGGCAGAGCCCTAAACGGAGGGGCTGTACGTGTGGTTTACATTTACACCAGTGCCCCCGGGAGCCTGGGCCAGCTCCTCCCGGCTCAGGCTGCTCCCCTGCCCGGGCCTGGAAGGGAGGCAGGGAGGTAAGCCTGCAGAGCCTCGCACAGCGCCAGGCTGGGGAGTAACCGTTATAATTGGCTGGGGGAGCTCAGTTTTCCACGTTCCGCTATTTTTAGAAGTGCAAAGGAATACATTTCCTCCAAGTTCCCTGAAGGAAAGGCCAGAGCCATCCAGTTTCATTTATTCAGCAGTTGTTTAACTCAGCTACCTGCTAAGAAGCAAAAGATGGAGCCCCCACCCCTCACACAGGCAGAGGTGACATGGACAGAGGACAGAAAGCGGGGTGCGCAGTATCTCAGACATACGTGGAAGGGCTCCAGGGAGACACAAAACGGGGGAGGGGGGAGGCCCTGCGGCTGAATGGGGAGCAGAGGAGGAGAAGGCAGAGGCTGTGCAAAGGCCCGTGGGAGGCAGGCAGGGGCCAGGGGCCACCCAGCGGGAAGCCAGCCGTGGAAGGCGAGGGCACCGTGTGGCGGGGGTGAGCCGAGCAGCCAGTCCACGTGCAGGCAGCACAGCCCGGGAAGGCAGGTCAGAGCTGTGAGCCGGGGGAGGGACCTGTGACTGTGGCTCCCAGACCACAGTCCCCTCCTCGGAGGAAGCCGCCGAGCCGGAGCCAGCGCGGACCAGGCCTGCTCCCGCCTTCTGCTCGGTTCTTGAACCCAGTTTGGCGAGAACTAGGGGGTGCAGAAGACATGCTCTCCCTGCCAAGCACATGCCAGGGCCAGGACAGCGCTCCACGTCCCCAGGCATCTCTCCTCCACGTCCTCCTCCTGCCATTTACACAAACAGCTCGTCCTGGCCACACAGCCTGTGCCTGAGCTGCATTTTCTCTTCCGTTTTCCACCCGGAGCAAAACACACGGCTTATTCTAAGGTGACCTTACACCTGCCCACCCAGGAAGATGGGCGCGGGCCAGAATCTCCCCCCCCCCCCCCCCCCGACTTCTGAACCCGAGAGACCGGTGACCCCGCTGCCACACACGGGGGAGGTACGGGCGGAGCCTGAGAGCAGGGGGCAGCGCGCCACGGCCCTCGGGCCAAAGCCAGGCTGCCACGTGTTGATGCAGATAAAGTTTTATTAGCATTCGGCCGCGCTCATTCCTCTGCCTGCTGTCCACAGCTGCCATGCAGGGCTTCGTGGCTGCCAGAGCCTCTCGTGTTTACAGGAAACATTCGCCAACCGCTGGTAGAAAGAGACGTACCCAGAAAAAAAGATTCTCCTTTTAAGTCTGCATTAAAATTCAGAATAATCTACACCACCTTGTTCTGAAACTTCTCCGTGAGTAAGACATAAATTTAAAAATGACTTTTCTATCTTATCCGAGAGACGACAAATGGCATCTGACTTCACAGGAGGCAGCAGCCCTTCGGTGCAGCGTGCCTTCAGAACCGGGACACCTGCGGCTCCCTGGCTCGGAGCCAGGCCTCAGAAAAACGACTCTGCCAGCCTCTGCCTGCTTTTCCTGGGACATGGGCATGAAGACCTGTATTTAAATCCTCTCTGTGATCACCTGTACCACGTAACGTTCATTTTGCATGTTCATCTGGAGAGAGCCGGCTCCAAACCAGCCTCCTCCGACTCGTGTTTTTGAAAAGCATCTTGAACCACGAGGCTCCTTATCTACCTCGCTCTCCTCCCCCTACACCCCACCCACGGGCATTGATGTCAGGTCTCAGCTTCGTTGTTATTCTCTTCCTTCCATTTTTTCTAACCAGCTTTTGTTCTGAGAATCACATCAGTCCGTGTGAACTTGTGTGTTAACAATAACGCTCCCTTTAATGGTTAACGTTTCCACTGAACTCTGGCATTCTGGGTGGTTTCCATGCTTACTGCCGGTTTTCTCACACACAGCGTTTCTACTCAAGGGTTATGTCTTTGACTTGATTCTTGGCCACTGATGTACAGTACTATTAAACTGTTTGTTTGGTTGGTTTGCTTGTTTTAAGTTTAGTCTTTAATGTTACATGGTCTTAGAATGTACTAGGAGTTGAGACTATTTTTCTCTCTTTGTCACCGTGTTTCAGCAATTTTCAACCAGTGTGCCCCAAGTATTTTTAAAACATGCACTATCTGATTATCTAGTCAGGGGCACCAATCTCTTGTCCCTTAGACTGTCAAATAAAGAAAAATGACAGCAACCAATACAACCAATAGCTATCCAATGTGCATGAATCAAAATTACACCTATTTATCTGGTCAGATCGGCAAAAAAATATGTTTTTGGTGTGCCACCAAAATTTTAGCAATTAGTTTGTATATGCCACGAGATGAAAAAGGTTGAAGATCACTGCTTTCTTTGAAGAGAAGATGTGTCAATAACACCGATTCTAATCAAATTCTTGACAGACTAGAGCTTGGACAAATTTGTTAGCCATCAACTCTCCGGGCGGGTCTATGCTCCCAAGGACATTACACTGAACCCTGACAGGGGGCCCCGTGCTCCCTCGGGTTTAACAGCTCAGGCTGTGTCCACTGTTAACCCAGACCTGTCTGCCCAACTGCCTGTGCCCAGCCTGCCCCCGGCCGCCGCCTTCATTTCCTGGGTGGTGACGGCTCCCTAATCTAGAAAAACCACAGGCAGACCGAGGACTCAGCTCCCAGAGCAGATCCAAGAGGCTTAGGAAAGCATTCCAGCGCCTCGTGAACATTGCTTGGCATCTCAGATCAGTTTCCCGGAGGTCGGGAAGTCGTAGAGCTGTGTCCCGGCTGGCTCCCTCTGGTTGGCTTGGTCCAGCTTCTTCTGGATCCTAAGCCTCGGGTCTTCCAACCCTCACGGATGGTGGGCTCCCCTGGGACACGGACTAAGGCAGTCTGTCCTGCTTTGCTCTTATTGTAACTCTACCATCGTCCAAGCAGTCTATTTATTATGTCACCATGGACATACTGTAGCCATATAATAGCTTCCTCTTAGGAGATATTTTTGGATAGATATACTAGGAATATATGCAAATATTTTGGAGATATTAGGAAATAGCAACACAGATACTATTAGGACACTTGCTGCTAGACTTGTTTTTTAACCCAATATTTCTGATGTTGAATGGTGGCATTTTTTTCTTGCAATGCTTCTCCCACCACCAAAGAGAGAGCAAGAAAAGCAGCAAAGAATATCAAAGCAAGAGGACGAAAAGTTCACTTATGAAGACACTTTTACCCCTTTGGGGATGGGGTCATTTTTATTACTTGGGGTCTCTGTAAATGTAATTCTGCAAGAACGGAGCTCCCATGGGGAACTCTACCTTGAAAAAAAAAATCTTTAAAAAAATAAAGCATCCGACAGAGAAAATTATTTTTAAATCTCACCTGAGAGGACTGGCTTTCTATCATGGAAACGCATCTACATAAAGCCATCTTATGGAGGCCCCCGTGGGCCACAGAGAGGAGGCCCGGGCA